CTTCAGGTATTATTTTAGAGAGCAAATGATACCTACAGATTTAGTTGTTATGAATAATGGGCCTCAGAAGAAAAATACACTAAACTTTTGCTATTTCTTCGCTATTAGCCTAGCTATTATTTGTCCAACCACGTAACCACGTACTTATAAATGGGTCACTTTACATATTATTATTCAATAATGAACTTACTGCTCTGATCTGTAATACGTTAACACCCTTCTTTGCATGCATTTCTTCAATTTCTTTCACTCAATATCAAGTTTCCGAAGCAGTGAGACTTTGAAATTGTTGTCTTAACACCCCGCGAATTCAACAGCCTGTTACATAAAGTAAAACACAGAAAACTCACTTTTTTCACATTACTAAGTAAGATAAAAATGAATATTACGTTAAGAAATGTAGAGGTATGAGTTGGAATGTTTGTATCGCGACGCAAATTTTAATCGATCGGTCTGTTTTTACGTTTAATTTAATATGCCTTTATAGCTCAATCAATTTTGATCGCGATCCTTTTACATATTTATATTGGAAAATAAAATTTCGAATTCTGATCTTTTCAAGTTTTAAAATGCAATTCAGAAAACCTCAGTGATTGTCTTAATAACAATAAGAGTATGTCTGACTTAATGGGCTACTACGGTTTGCAGTGATCCTGCTCATTCACCCGTGTTGTACTGTTGAAGTGATATTAACATGCAAATAACTTTACATTGTCTTTTTTGCGGACGGTACGTTCGAGCGCGTAGTATTTTGAAAATGTGCGTCTGGTTAGCATAGATACGTGTGTTATCCTGGCTTGAATTTTAGGCAATTTATAACCTGTATAATTATATTTTATCTTCTTTTTCTTTGCAAAAAATTAAAAAGATGGACAGAGCCTCAGGTCAAAGAGAGAGTAGTTTCTTTTTTTATAATTTCGTTCGACGTCAGTGCGCTGCTTGACATTTTCAACCGACTTCAAAAAAGGAGGAGGTTCTCAATTCGACCCGTATGTTTTATTTTTTTTCTATGTTTGTTACGCGATAACTCCGCCAATTATGAACCGATTTGAACAAATCTTTTTTCGGCGTATAGGTAATACCTCAAGGGTGGTCCCATTTAAATTTAATAATAGAAAAAACAACCCCCAAGGGTGGAAAATTGGGGATGAACTTTTTTATACGCAATATCTCCGCCGATTATAAAGTATCAATCATGGTATACCTACATAAATATTAATTCGTCCTAATAAATAAGTAGGTTATTAGTAATTATTTTTCTACTTTTTAATGTAGGTTTTTTGGAGTCGGTTTTATTTTTTTTTATAAAATTTTACTTATTTATTGCTTTTTAGTTAACTAATTATTACCTTGATGTTACCACTGAAGGTAGGCAGTACATTGAGACCATACTCTTCATGTCTAGTGTAAAATAATATTCCCTACAAAATTCAGGTTACCATATAGGAAACCTAAAAAGACCTTAAACCGTCAGCCCACCTTAAAAACATGAAAGAATACAACTGTTGTTCTATTTGTACTTATAATATTTAAAGAATTATCCTCCAACTCCTAAGCATTAAGGAGTTTTACCTTCTATCATCAGCTCATCAATATGAGATGATGATTTCCAGGAGCAAATATATGAATAACTTAAGAAAAAGTTTGAAAAACGATATACGTGCCTATAAAATTTGAGGGTTGCTCTCGATTTCCCTAGGATCCCATCATCAGATCCTGATTTGGTGATAATGGGACCACCTCAGAAGTGTACCCTATCGAACAAAAAAAGAATTTTGAAAATCGGTTCATAATTGGCGGAGTTATCGCGTAACAAACATAGAAAAAAAAAAAAAAAAAATACGGGTCGAATTGAGAACCTCCTCCTTTTTTTGAAGTCGGTTGAAAATAAATTGCAGGGCAGACTTAAATTTAATAACCTTTTCTTCCTTTGACAATTTGTAGCCCTACCTCTAGAGCCGACCTATTTGGGGCAAATAAAGAAATCAAGTAGGATCAAGAAGGTATGGTTGACATCAGACCACAAATCAGGATTTTTAAATGGGTTTTGAACTTTATGTATTTCGCATAACTTTCAAATCGATTAAAAAAGTTCTAGCTACTTTTTTTTATTTAACTTGTGCACAACAAGCATGCACCTATGCCAAAATAATTCAGCTTTACGTGAATTTTAATTACTTTAATACTTTTTGACCGGACTGATTTAATAAAATCAACCCTATCTTTTATACAGCAACTCATGTCCTAAAATCCTGGGTTTGCTGACGCTCACCAAACACATAACCCCCTTTTATGCGGTGGTTAAAAGTGCCAAGCCATCACCGTGAGGGTACATTATGCAAATTGTGATATTACGGCGTTTGAGGGTTGATAGCGCCTGATGTAACCTGTTGTCTGCGAGTCGCGTTTCTGGTATTGTTGCGGCCTTAAAGACCGCAGGCGTTGGAGTGGTAAATTGAAATTCTGGATGGGCTGAAATCTTTTTACGGTTGTTGGACGATTTCCTTGTTTTAGACGCGAATCTGAATAATAGGGACTCGGGATTGGTACTCGTAGCTATTATCTATTTACCTATTTTATCTTGTAAACTGCTTATTTCATTGAAAGGATTTTTAGTTTCCTAAATTTTATTTATCATCAACTGTGGGTTGAAAATTAAAATCCTAACAGAAAATCACCTACTCTACATATTAAAGAGTGCCTTCAAAGTGCAATACATATTTGATTCAATTAATTTGGTACAAATACAACTCTTTTTATTCCAACTTTTTCACAAACCTCTTTACAATTTAAATAAGTGAAAACCGTCCAAAGTTTATTTTAATTTCAAGATTACTTTCCTTCTGTGCGTTCCTCGTACCCGCCATATTGTATTTCAAAGTATAAACACGCGTGGCCCACAAAGTATCTTTACAAAAAGTACATAATTTGGGGCTGTTTAATCCTGCCGAGTATACAAGTACAAAGGGGGTGGAGGGGATGCGAAATATTCGGATTATCCGCGCGGAGGGCCGCGGCCTTTGATATCCTTTCGAACCTTCTTTTGGTACGCACGCAAGGACGCGGTCTCACTGAGAGAGGGAGAACATATTGAAAGTAGGTTAAACTATACATAAGCGATAATGATACGATGTGGCAACGTTAAAATTCGGAAAAAAATCAAATATTGACAATTTCTAAACGCCCGGAAAATTTTCCAGCTGAAACTTCCAAATGACTGGACTGTAGGAATATTTTTGGTTTTTTGAGGTATTGAAACAACATTTTTGGAAAACTATTTACTCGAACTCTATTTTCACCCTGCGTAAACTTGTATTTGTCCTTTTCTAATTCAAAGTCAATGCCAAAGCTATTATTCAGCACTTAGGCCCTTTCTAGGGCGCTTATCGCAATATAATTAAAATAAAAGCCATAATAAATTATTATCTTCACAATTTTATGTGCTTTACCTGTGAATTGTATCCTGAAATCGTCCTACTCTACTAATCATAATCTTTCGTACAGAGGCACAGAAAGTAATCTCCACTGATCTTAACTATTGCTAAAGCCGTAAACTGTTGCTAGCACAGCATTTCATCGCCCTCAGTCAAGCCGCTTCCTCGCCCAGTCCTTATAATTAAACGGGCAGTTTCCCGAACGGTTCCCATAACGGTTATGTAGCAGCCCTTGCTGATTCGCGTGTTAGCCACCCAATGCCGAGGCGTCAATTACAAGTGTTTGTACATTTAGTGGAAGTTGCTTTAGTGGGTTATTGATACGCTAATGTGTGGGTCATGTTTTGGCCATAAAGGTATAATTTATCTAGAAATTTTTTTTTTTTTTTTCAAGTTATAACTGGACAGGATGAAACATTGAAATTCCTGAAAGATCAATAAAGGCTGAGGCATAAAATTAAAATCAAAAATATTTTATTCCTTTTAGACCAATGTAATTATAGTGTCATCATGAATATGACCTAGTTTTTAATACTACTCAAGATATTTTTGAATTTATAGCAAGGAAGGATACAAACTGAACAATATGAAACGTAAGTCTTGGACTTCCAATATTTTCGAATGTATTGTACGCATTTTGTATTAGGTATACCTTTTGTACTGGTCTTCATACATACCTACGCGTATAATACGCTAATATTTTTACTGTTTCGGTACCGACGAAAACGAGTTTTACTCGTATGTTTGTAACTGTAATCTAAATAACAGTTTTAAAATTATTTAACTTCCATTCCTGTTTCAACATGGCGTCGGCTGTCAGTGCTCCTGACAAATTGCCGGGTAGTTCGCGAGCTCTGATGATGTCTCCACGATAATAGTGATTAATGTCCGATCGTGGCTGTTCCAAACTTTTGAGGAGGGGAATTATTTCATTCACATGACATATGATACTTTTCATCGCAAATAAGTAAGCGTATTTCTTGAAAAAATCGAACTGCCTAAGGTGGGAATCGAATTTACGTTCTTTCGCTTGCCGGGCTCTTCCATCTGAACTACTTATTTTATTTTAATAACTAAGCTCACTTCTTTCTCTTCTTTCCTTTGCTAAAACTTGATGGTTAGCTGTGATCAGAAGCTGGTAGTCATTTGATTTTAGATCTAGGTAGTCAGTAGATAGAATAATACCAAATTATTTTTAGAAAGTGTGTTTAGATAGATACTCGGCTGGTGCCTCTATTGGTTTGGTCCATTTGGTGGCAAGCACCACACGTCCCTGATACTTGGCATAGATTATAATTTTTGACAAAAAATATACGGTGAAGATGTTCTACTAAAAATCGTTTTATTAAAGAGGGGAAACCCACATTGTGAGGAAATAAAAACCTTCAATTCGATGTTGATGATCAAAAAATATTTATATGCTAGTAGTTTTGAGTTCTAGTGAAATTACTGGCTTATAAGATACAGGGATTCATCCGTAAATTGTTAGGTACTCAATTACTTGTTTTATTCCAACAGCCTATTCTAGTATTTATTATTATGTCAATAAAAGTCAAATTGGTGACTTCATACAGAAACATAAGAGTCCTCCAAAGATGTAGACTCGCTGTCCTCAGTATTGCTGGTGTCGCCACTCATGCGCACCTTGTAGTCGTAGAAGAAGTGATCGCCGTGCGGGGCTTCGGCACCGGCTTCGTCGTCCTTGCAGCGGTGGTCGTGGATCTTGGTGAACACTACGAAAGAGACCTCAGGTGGTTACAACCAGAGACGCGCCCATATTCACAAACGATGCTTGCTCTGTGGTTGGATCGTGTATCACCCTGTGCGTCCACGCGCACTGTGAGACCTCATAGTAATGTTTGTGAATACGGGCGTGAGTGTCTCGTTGTCTTTGCAGCGGTGGTCGTGGATTTTAGTGAACACTGCGCAAGAGACAAAAAAAGAATGAGACATGTATAGGCTCCATAAGAGCATTTGACGATTTGTAAGTACTAATTTAATTAGTCTACACAAATAAAGATAATTTTGATTTTGATTTTGTGGGAGGTCTGTCCTCATTGCATTTACCAGTCCGTGGTGCTTTTTTGAAAGCTAACTTTGTGCTAACAAGTCGTGGTATGAAACGGTGCTAGCAGATTTTATAGAAGAGCTATTGCCAATTTAATACCTAATCCTCTTGTTTTCTGGTTCAGCAGAAACTTTCTAAGTCTATCAGCGGAATGAAGTACACTCCCTAAATAAATATCATCCCTATTAATTACCCTCAAAGCTAAATATTATGGTATTTGATGGGCATTCCCAAAGTAAAACTGGTACTTCTACTAAAGTGTTTAACTTAAACGAAACATATTTACCAACTCAAATTAACTTTGTAATCTTAGTAATTACTCTAATTCTGTACCCCCAGTGAAAACGGAGTTAAGTCGAAAATGGTGATTTTTGGGAAATCGCATTTGAAGTTAAAAAAAATCCTGCTTCGTCGCTATTAGAGATAACTTGGTGAAATATTTTTTAGGTGAAAGGTAATGTTAGATATAATTAGGCAGTGTGCCAGTTTGGGAAATATAGCATGTAGTTTTTTCGTAATTAAATAAAAACCCAGTTATATCGCCATGCACGGCAACTTTACATTCGTGTAAAGTGATGTAATGGGACATAAATCATTTTACACCACACTGAATTGACCACTCGCTAACAAGTGTAAAGTGATACATTTTACGCCATTTCTGTTGATATTTTTTTGTTTCTTTAATTTTAGAAAAAGTTGTAAAACAAACATTAGTAATTACACTATGAGGAATCATTATTTCAGGTTATTTAGGGTAAATCGTCCAAAAATTTCTACTTATATCAATATACACCAATTTTGTGATGAGAAAAAAAATGTGTAAACTGATCTAACTAACATAATAGCGATCTAAGTATCCTAATAATTATGTGTAAAGTGATATAAGTGGCGATTGTAAAGGAATAAGGCTTATAAATTAAGTTACATTCTTTTTCACCAACCAACAATACATAGTTTTTTTTGTGTATATTAATATGAGTCATCTTATATTGTTAATCACAAATTCAATCTGAACAACTTCAATCGTGTAAAAAGTAGTAACACGAGTCGTACCTCTTGACACAATAAAAAATTTAAAGAAGCCTCCGGTACACTTTGTTAAAAGTAGACATGTATCAATATACACGAAAGAAAACTCAAAATTGGTTCACAAAGCCTTACTTGTATCATTTGGCACAAAATTATTTTCTTTTCTATACGTCGTAGAAACATACCGATTAGATACAAAAATAGCTAATTTTTCAGAGATTCACATTATGTTATAAAGTCAATTTTGATCTAAGTCGAGTTAGATCCCTTTTCACTGGGGGTACAGAATTAAGGATACTAATGTCGGGGCAGATGACCCGGCCGCGAAATTAGGAAGTAATTTATGAAAATTTAAGGAAAACAGTCTCGTCCTTGGGAGAAATGATATTTACAGCTCGTACACAAAAATAAAAGTTTTGCAAGTCTTGCTATACGTACGATGCTTGCAAAATTAAACTTGAACTTGTCAGGAATTCTTTTTCTTTAGTTTGAATAAGTTAAGTTATGACTTGCAAAAAGTCACTGGAATGTGACAAAAAGTCGCTGGAATGTGACAAGCCGCAGACAGGATGAAAAATAGCGCCTTTGGGAAGGTTTTTGATCTACAGACCAGTGGACTTCTATAGGATGATATAGTTAATGTTGATGATGATGGTGTCAGCCCAAAACTTCGGCACATGAGTGGCAGATCCATTTAATGATGATGATGATAATAATGATGATAGTGATGATGAAGGACACAGCCATCTCTTACTTACTGGTGCCGTCCTGGCAGTTCCTCTGATGCATCATGTACAGGCTCTTGAAGGAATGATGATGATGATAATGATGATGGAATTCACAGCCATCTCTTACTTACTGGTGCCATCCTGGCAGTTCCTCAGATGCATCATGCACAGGCTCTTAAAGGATCGGCGCGCGCGCTGGTATGCGCCACAGATCCACTTGATCCGAGGATCACGCCACTTCATCCCCATCTCCTCAGGGCATGGGGTGCACTTGCGATGCCATTTTCTCCTGTAACAAATATAATATTTGCTGAAAACTATACCTTTTGTCATCGCTTAAGATGTGAAAGAAAGGGATTCAGAATATATCATGTTCCAGGCATAGACTGTATAACATACATTATAATATCTGATAATTTTTATTTAAAGAACGACAGTTCTTTTTCATGCTTGGTTAGGCATTTCTCCTCTTGGTTAGGTTGATTTGTGTTAAAACCACTTTGTGAACTTCTTTGTAGAATCAAACTCATTACCATAACCTCTATCTAATTTTATGGTGACCATCATGGTGAATGCATAACTCAAAATTATTTGAATAAATCGACCGTTCACAAAATGACAAAATTAAATGCTCCACTGATTTGAAACTTTATCATAAAGATAATAAAGTTATTAATAAAGTTAAGCTACTAAGTAAATTATCTCAATATTTAATAGCATTAATCACCATCCCGGTCTCTCTGCGCTGGATTTCGGTTGAGCCGGGCGAACTCTTTGCTCTGATGATGACGATGATGACTCTTCTAGAGACTCTCCTGATACCCCACTTTCACCATCAGAATCTGAAAATATAAAATTATCATAAAAATAATGACTAGCACATGATAAAGTTCATGTTTCCGTCATTTTTATCATCTATCAAAGTGATGATACAATTATTTTTATAATTTGTGTGGAGAAAATTTAAATTTGGGCCGTTACTGTTCCTTGAAAACAAACTTCATAATACTGTATCAACATCATCTTATCTACCTTCACTATTATTCTTCCTTAAAAGCAAATTTTCCTTCGGTTTCTCACTATCATCGGAGGCAGAAACAAAATCGAATCGAGATACTGTTTAATACGCCTCCAACAAGTATTACGTAACCACTATCTTTGCCTGTCGCTCCGAAAACCAGATCTGCTCCTTTAAGATAAGGTTTTAAATTCTCTGGCAGTTTTGAGAACATCTTAAGTAGTACAGGTAGGGTATTTGCTCTGCCTAAGTTTGTGGATAGACCGGGGTTAGGCAAACACGGACTTTACGCTTTTCCAGCCGATCGGCTTGGGAAATGAACGCTCGGTCTAAAATCGTAATAGAATGTACAATCATTTAGTCCTACTGTTGATCAAAGTTGTTAAAGCATTGAGATCAAATTGAAACCTGACATTGAAAAATTTTCAGCTTGGTTTGTCAGGCGTTAAGTTATTATTTTTATAGAGAAGGAATATAGATAAGATGCCCACGTAGAGCCCAATTCTTACCCTTTCCCAGTATACAGGGTGGAAACGATAAGTGATCTCACTCGATTATTTCTAAACTATACAAGATATCGAAAAACTGTTTACTGATCCTGAAAGTGCTTCACGAGCTCTATCCAACGGTATCAATAACAGGTTACAAAATAAACTAATAATATGGATCTATCTGAAAATTCAACATTTCCAGCTTCCATACATTTAGTAAAACAACTTAATATTAAAAACTATACCAGATATCCAAAAACTGGTTACTGACCCTGAAAATGCTTCACGAGCTCTATCCAACGGTACCAATTATAAGTCACAAAATAAACTGGATCTATTCGAAAATTCAATGTTTCCAACTTCCATACATTTAGTTCTGTCACAGTCATGGCACTCATGTCTTGATAACATTATAGCAAGTAAAGCCTAGAATAAATGATTTCCATGAATAATTTTAAATAATAATGCATTTTACGAGTTCATTTTAAGTGTTTATTATTTAATAAAAAATAATACACTTTTAATATTGTGTGGCTGGCATACATTTAGTATGGTGGCTGAAAACATTGAATTTTCGGATAGATCCAGTTAATGATGTAACCTTTTATTGATACCGTTAAAAAGAACTCGTGAAGCACTTTCAGGATCATTAACCCGTTTTTCGATATCTTGTGTAGTTTAGAAATAATCGAGTGAGATCACTTAACGTTTCCACCCTGTATAAGTATTTGTATCTTTGTTTTTTGTATTAACTTTGTGAAGGTCATGTATTGTGACCTTATTTAGAAAATCTTTATGGCCTCGTCCCCTTATTCAATCGGAATATCTCTTTAAAATTTCGTCACAGTAAAAAAAGTCTCATCAAGGTAGATCCTGCAGTGACTGTGATAGCTACCTTCCCAATGCTTAAAATTAGAAAATAATATTTTATTACGTTTCTTTTCTCCAGAAGACGAAGACGTCGACCTGTGCGTGTTCTTTCTTCTCTGTCTTCTGGTGTCGAAGTCAATGAAGTCCAGCTTTTTGTTTATGGCCTCCACGTCCAATTTGTTGCTCACGCTGTTTATGGTGCCATTTCCTATGCTGGCAACTGCTATGTCTGCTGTAAAATATATCGAATTCATTTACAAAATGAACATATTTATTGTTAGTTGAATAATGTAAAAAAAATCCTATCACCTGTAAAGCAGTAAGGTCTTCATGTTTTTTGGTTTATTACTCTTTCACGCAACGCACTAACTGGATGGATTTTGAGTAGATATACTTTATAATGCTGCAGTTTTTGTACATACATCAGAAAAACACAAATATGTTTCGAAATCTCCAACTCACAGGTAAACTACTGAACATATCTCTGAATCATCTGTCAACGTTCACCATTCCAAATGAAGTTTGAAGCGGCATTGAAGTAACACGCTTATTACAGTAATATACTGCAGCTGTAGTGTTAACTGTATATGAAATGAACTTATTGAATACCAACTCACCGATAGCCAGTAAAACTGCGAACTGCGAGCTGCGCCAGAGCATATCGGCCCAATTCGTCGCACCAGTAACACTTCGCACCGGCTCACAATTTGAGTCGTAAATCTCTCTAGCTGCTTATGGACTTTTATTGCTAGTTTTATTATTTTACGTTTTTCGCAAATTCTATAAAGTTGTGATTACTATGAGCATGCATCAGGCAAGTTGTAAATAACCTTTATTCATAACTAGCTTTCCGCCCGCGGCTTCGCCCGCGTGGTTTGTTATTCCAAGTCTGATTCTTTTTTGTTATACCACGTTTTATAGTGACTGACGTTTCATGTCAAATCACACGGGAATGCTGTCGAATGGGATAAAAAGTATCCTATGTCCTTCTCCTGGCTCTAAACTACCTCCCTGTCAATTTTCAGCTAAATCGGTTCAGCCGTTCTTGAGTTATAAGTGGAGTAACTAACACGACTTTCTTTTATATATATAGATATGTATTTATCAGTTGATATCGGTCAAGTCAGCTAGAGTAGTAGGACATCCACAACATAGGTTCGTTCGTTTCAGCCGAATGACGTCCATTATTGGACAAAAGCCTCCCTAAAGGATTTCATCCAACGCGACTTTCACCAGATCGTCGATCTACCTAGTGGGGGCCTGCCCGCACTACGTCTTCCGGCTAACGGTCGCCACTCAAGAACTCCCCCCCCCCCCATGAATGGCAAAGAATGGCAAAAGCTAGGCGCAAGAAGCGGGCATTGGAGGAGGCCTTTGTTTTCCTTGCTAGATGTCAGCCTTTCTCAAGGAGTGCCAGATAAATCTCTCCCATTTGTTTCATTCTGTCATTGCGAACTATTTTCATGATATAGTCTGCCTATCTACATTTTAAACGAGCCATTTTTCTTCTAACGTCTTGATTTTCAACTTGCAAGGCGATTCAACAAGCAAGCAGTGTCTTGCCAAGAGAACTGACATGAGTTTTGGATGAAATTAATCAGGTCACTATAATATACTTTGAGCTGCTACATTCGAAGGAATCTTTGGATTTTTCAAAGAGTCATCAATCAAAATTTACTACCCACAATAATAACAATAACGATTGATTGATGTTACCATAAACACTAAAGACGCATTAATATTGTGTATCTAATTACCGATGATCATAATAGTGCTAATTAGACGTGGATTAAGCACATTAGTTATACTGCCAATGTCAGTCAGCACTCAGCTGATCGAATTAATACAAATAGTCCCATTATACTACGATAAATGAACGAGTTTTTCCAAAAATTACCCTATTTTTCCTTTTTCATGTTCAGTCTATCTCTGTACGAAGTTTCATCATCAAAGTAGTGACGGCTTAGGAGTCACTTTTATTAACACTTTTTTCCTATCAGATCAAATCGAGTACATATGACAGATAATACTATAACTTTTTGCGAAGCGAAGGAAATAGTAAAGCAATAATACTTATCACAGCTAGATTAGTCAATCTTGCTGCACAAACAAAAACGTTATTTGTATTTGATTTCGGCGTAGATTGCGGCATTTGGAGCACGCCCACTAAAGCCAATGTTCTCAAGTGGAGCAGTAAACCTTTTAAATAAAACACCGGTGTGGAAACTGAGGCAAATTGCTTCAGAACCTACTAGGAATCCCGATGTGCCCTCGTCCTTGACCGTGGGTGTAATTACGACGTGCGAATTCAGCAAATGGCGTAATAGAATACTGTTCGGATAAAGAAATGATTTGGTGTGCAAAAGTTTTAATACAAGTAATTTATTCCCTCAGGTCTTGCATCTTGATAGAAAATGATGTAGTTTTGCTTTTGATTACGAACAAAACCGCACAGAACTCTTACATTCCTTTACTTCAAAAATATGTCTAATTTTTCCTTTTTAATTATCACCAGGCCATCCAAAGATATTTTATTTAAACAGGACAAAGAAATGAAACTACAAATGTATAAGAAATTATAATATTATTATAATTTATATATTTAAACTTTGTAAACGTAGAACCAGTGTTTTCCATGATAAGAGTCGTTCTTGCAGCGGTGGTCGTACAACTTCACGAACACTGAAAGAAAATTGAAACAGAAAATTATAGATTTACTAGCGACCGCCCGCGACTTCGTACCCGTGGATCCTGTTAGTGGTTGAATTTTGCAAAATCTACGTTCTAAAAGGACCCCATGCAAAATTGAGACTAGCACTTGTAGTTTCTGAGATTTCGTGATGAGTGAGTCACTCAGATTCATCGACGGAAAAAAGCATAATATATGTTCGTTGTTTCATCCTAGAAGAATATTTCATTCCCCCATTCACAGTGCGCTGCACGTCAGTTAAACGCTTCGTTACGCCGAACTTCGCATTCGGCTCGCATTATTTTCGTAAATGTGAAAAGTTCCTGACACTTGATCGAATTCTTTTTCTATTTGTGCCAGTGATTGCTTTTGGTCCCAAATAATTATTTGTGTTTTTGTCAGCGTCTTTGGCAATTCCATGATTAAAGTTTGCGAGTGAAAAGATTTGTTTCAACTTTGTAAGTGAAGCGGAGTTGTAAGGGCTTTGTAGACATGATAAAAAGGGCGATGCGAAAGGGAATAATAATCGAGGCGTTGTCAGCATATTTTTTTGCGTGTTTTGTGGGATGTTCCAGGAAGTTTGCTTGCAAAGTGAAACAGCGGGCGGAAAAGTTGTGTTGTTTTTGAATAAGATATCTAAATATTATTTGGAAGAAAGGAAATGACTATCAAGTACACTATTATCCGTTTTAATTGCTATGTCAAAGTTTGAAAGTAACTCTGTTACTTCTTCAAGGGTAGGGAAGAAGTGAATTGTATGAGCTAGAATTGTAGCTAACGAAAATAGCAAAACAGAAAAAGAAGTAACAAGAAATTTAGAAAGAATCAGATTAGGAAAATAGAGAAAATACAGCTAATCAAAAGGACACTGTCGTCCATACTTCAGGCATGCCTATTTTGGAAGACAGAAGAATCACTCAAAATTGTGACACCTTCTTCATATACATATACTCACGCGTCCCATCCTGGCAGTTCCTGTACCGCATCATGCACTCGCTCTTGAAGGATCTCCTCGCCCGCTGGTAGCCGCCGCACAGCCACTTGATGCCGACGTTGTTGTGGGCTTTGAGCATATCCTGGGGGCAGGGGGTGCAGGTGCGGAAGGATTGAGTGCTGGGGGAAAGAAGAAGCCTTTATTTGCTACCAATATAACTTACGAAAAAATAAAAAATCTCCTAGATACAAGATCCATGAGAGAAGGGCCAGGCGTATAGGATAGGGTGCTGAGAGAAAAAATATTTTGTCACCAACAAGAAATAAAAAAAACACTAATTCATGGTGATACAAAGTGTTAAGAATCGGGATAGAAAAGGGATAAAAATGATACCCAGGCTCAAGGAAGGGAAAGCGATATAATAGAAGGATAAAAGGAAGATACAGGAAAACAGGGATAGAAGAGACAGAAAGATGACAAGTGACATTAGTAAAATATAAAAATATAAAACCATAAACTATCAAAAGAGGCCGTTCGTAACATCTCTCCCTCTCTCTCAACAATGATAGAATATGAATATCAAGAAAAAAGAGAGACAGAGCGGGAGAGATTGATACGACCGGCCTTAAGGTGGGCTACAAAAAGAGTTAAAAGTTTATCTAACATTGTGACGGGACGTGGTGGTTCAGATTGTTCTGGCTTCGGGTCAGGGGGTGGTGGAGTCTTGCAGTCAGGTGAACAGATGAGGCGTCGTGTAGAAAGGAAGAGGCGTGGCAACCGTAAATAAAGCAGCGTCCAGCAGAGTTGAAGGAAGAGGCGCAGCAACCTTAGATAAGGAACGGCCGGGATGCACAGAGGTAGGCGCATCCCCGGTGGCAGCTCCAGATTGCAAATCGGGATCACTTGAAGTAGCAGGTCTACCTGGGCACGCAGAGATAGGCGCGCCCGGAGAGGGAAACCTGCGGCAGCTCTACCTGGGCCCGCAGAGATAGGCGCGCCCGGAGAGGCAGAGCTGTAGATATGTGATGCCCGACTTGAAGGCGCCGTAATGTTAAGAATCGGGATAGAAAGGGATAAAAATGATACTCAGGCTCAAGGAAGGGAAAGCGATATAATAGAAGGAGGATAAAAGGAAGATACAGGAAAACAGGGATATAGAAGAGACAGAAAGATGACAAGTGACATTAGTAAAATATAAAAATATAAAACCATAAACTATCAAAAGAGGCCGTTCGTAACACAAAGGTTTAAGACTAGGGGCTTACAAATTGTGCGAAAAAAATCTCAATCTCCAAGGGCGTGAAGTTGGGGAAGCCCTGTGTTAGAATAAAGACATCTCAAATTGCCTAATTAGACTGCTATTTGTAATTAAAATAAAGTCTGATGCGCTACATTGTCTGTACAAACTCACGCTTTCCTCCGTTCCTTTGTCTCAGCCGATGACGCTTCTGATGATGAACTCGATGAGATCACCGAACTTGATATTGAACTGGAACCAAAGTAAACATAATAAGGAATAGATTTATAAAGTGAACCACCATGGTCCTGACCAGAATCAAGCGTCAGTTTCACTATAACATTACTCCACCGATATGACGTGGCCTCCACTCCAGAACCTTGCAGCCTCATCGGTCGTCAGTTCTGCGTACTATGTGCCCTGCCTATTGCCATTTCAGCTTACTAATCCATCGGGCTATGTCAGCGCCTTTAGTTCGTTTACTCACTCATTATTTTCCAGTCAATACAGACTATGTTTTCTAGGAAATTATTACTCTATCTACTCGTAGAGCGATGTACAGACCGAAATTTTGTAGACGTTCAATATTATACATAAACCTGTGGTTACCCATCAAACAAATCGATAGCCGAGTGCCGGTTAGCAGCAGTTTGTGCCTGTAGCCTGTAGCCACCATTAATTAATACAGATTATTGAGCGACCTAATTAAGTAGCTGCGGATTAGCGTGCTTCGTAATTGAGTCTTGATCAAACATGTGTTGTGTGGATTGCCGAATTCCGCTGCAGGTTTCGAATTTTGGTAAATCATGTTGGCGCTACAATGTTGTGACTTGCTAATTATGAAACATAATAAACAACGCGTGTAATTCTGTTTGCAAAGAACTCTACCTTTCTAACTTGCCTAATCTCCCTCAATATTATGTAATTTTGTTTTCTTTAAACGTTGAGAATTTTAACACAATAGAAAATCTAGTTCAGTCTCACCGGTGAGCCACACGGCATCCAACCTGAACTAAGATAATAAATCTAATAGGTATGAAAACCCTTGTTTGAATTTTCGAAGAGGGTTTTTTTTTTACTTTGTGGCTTTTTCTGTAACGATACTTAAACCACATGGTCAAATAGCGTATAATACCATACAAGTCCGTGTACCTTATTCACGTGTTTTAATTAAATAACTACATAATAATCCTACATATTTCTTATTTGTATCTTCAAGTTCTCAGCGAACAATGCGAATTAATGCAAGCGCACACGTAACTGGCAACATTAGTAGTAATGCTAGTCTAATGACCTTAGCAATAGCAGTGTTACCAGTTACAAAATCTAATCTAAGCATTTTAGTTGTACAAATGGGTTTATTTGGCTCGGATCTAAGTACTTGTGTAATAATTTTGTTGAAACATTATTTAATTATTTTGTTGTGTCTTTTAAGATGCTTTGATTCAAAAGTTTTAGGTTTTTAAGAATGTTCTACACATTCTTAAAAACCTAAAACTTTTGAATGTTCTTCTTAGTTATAAACAAGAGCTAGGATCTGAATGAGATACTGAAGATCTGTAGATCCAAAAGCTTTATATCCTCAATCCTTTCTAATGATTAATTCGACAAAATTTTTAGGTTTTTAAGGAAGCCACGATAGCCGAACGGTGAAGGGGTCGGACTGGTCGACTCGTGATCCGGGGAACGCGGGTTCGGTCCCCGCCGCCGCTCGACTATTGTGGTGAGCTCACTCGTGACACAAGCATATTTAGCTTAGTACGAGGGGCTAACGGGAGTATTAGTAATTTGTGAAATAACAAATTACTAATAATCTTTTTTTTAAAAAAAAAAAAAAAAAAAATGTTTGCAAAAATCAGCCATCATATTATTCCAAAGTGGTCATCTCACCAATTGGTCTTCATCGATATTTTTGTTTGCCAAGCTAAAATTTTTGACGTATCTTTGTAAAATCATGTTTAAAGTAGATAAATATTTCTGATTTCCGTGGATTACTGATGATTTGGAATAGGTGCCCTGCCTGGTATCAAACCTGTACCTTTCTCCCGCTTTTCTCTAATAAAACCCATACCTGCTAGAAGAGATGACGTCAGTCTGCAGGTCGCTCTCTCCCGAGTCCTCCCTGGAGGTGGCCAGGTCGTACCACTTGTGGCCCCTGTGCTGGGCGTCCCCGAAGTGACCCACGTCCTTCAGGTCGTCCACGTGGGCCAGACCGGAGGGGGTCAGGCCCTTCTCGTGGGACCAACCGTTGGCTGGAGATGTGAGAGAGTCATTAAATAAAGTGTATTGCTATGGGTAGGCAACGGATATGAAGAAACTTAAATCCTTCCTTTGTAACCTAAATTCAGTGCTATTACATAGAGCAAGCATTGACATCATCATCACTAGCTTCTACCCGCAGTTTTGCCTTCATATGGGTTGGGAAAACAAGATCACCATCGCGCGCTTTCTCTGGATAAAAACAATATTTTTACGACAAGCATAAAAGTTTACCTTCATGAAATAGTGAGCTGTTCACATTAACTTTCATCTCTTATTTCTTCCTCTTTAAAATATAAAAAAATGCATGCATCCTCTGCAATCGCCCTTTTAAGTTATATCTGACAAGGACCATGAATGTTTTTATACACACTCTTAATTGTGTACTACATCTTTACCTATAGTAGTTTTACAAATGAAAATAGTGAAAAATGTAACGTAATCTTATTACGTAAGTACTCGCATCAAAATAATATCATCAGACACTTTCGTTTCAATTAAACAGAAACGAGGATGGAGCAGAAATACGTCCGAGGAAGGAAATAATAATCAGATTCTCGCAATCAAAGCTGGAATATGGATAACGCGGGTTTTATTCCTGTTTTATCCCCTTAGGGTATTCACGGTACATTTATGATTGTAGTCGCAATTCAGAATGTGAGGTTTGAAAATTTAATTGAAAGCTACATCTGGGATTAGTATTTTGAATGACGCTGTGATGTTAATGCATGAATGCAACATGTTAGCAGAAGATCTAGAGATCAGAGAAGATCTGCCAGAAAATTTAACAGAAGAGAGATTGATAAATGCCCATGTCCCTTGTCTCAGACCGTTACCCCACGCACTTATTATAATAAAATTGAGATTCCAAAAAATCCCACGATCAAAATCAACACATTGTTAAAAAGATTATACACAAAAAAAAAACGTTCAAAAGAAACCTCAAACTTCCATAAAAATCTTTCAATACCCAAACCGGAGCTTACTAAAGGAAAATCTCTGTGAGTTTTTCCTATCTCGGTCCCAATCACAGAAGTGATTAAGTGTGTCTTTCTCCAAAAGCGCTCATTAAAACTTCCAGCTGACAGTAAAACTTGCGACAACTTTCCCTTCTACGTACCGATAATAATTTATTCATCGATGAAACCTCCTGTGTGTAGGTTTTGATAGCAACGAATCAGAGATCTTGGTACTGATTAAGACACGAATTTTCTCTACGGATTTTCTAGTTAGTCTAGGAAATGTATTTCTGCACCATTTGACTTACAAATACTTGTTTCGGTCATGATGACTGATATTATCCACATTGTGGAAGTATTTTTTAAATAAACGTATGTCGTCATCTCCCTGCTGGGCAAAGGCCTCCCCCAAACTTCCAACGATATCCATAAAGTTCTTTATTGAATAAAGTATCTATAAATTATTTAAAATTTGTGTGTTGAGTAATCCGATCTCCATTTGCATGCACCCTAGAATAAAGGAATAAAGCGCTTTATACAAATTCATTGTTCCAACCAAGAACGCCAGAAATATTCATACAAACCCAGTTAAGGCGCATAGCGACAGTGCTGCTGTTTGCTTTAATTAGTTAAATTGCAAACATTACTAAAGTATTAGTAAGATCATAGTTTAGGAATGTGTTTATTTAAAATTAGTGTTCTTGTCAACTATAGCATCTATAGTTACATTTTAGATTAAAGAAGAAATACCACTGATTTGCCACACCATAATGGATAAAACTAAAAAGATCAACCTCCTTAATATTTATACTGATTGAAAAAGAAACGTGGTAAATGCATTCGTCGCCTTAACTATGTTAAAACTGGCGGCACATCAAGAAAAACGTTATGACATCTTATGCAGTTCTATTAAGGGTGATTTTACTACAAAACATACAGTCTAATGTACTGTGGCTCTACCCCCAAGACTGTGACACTGTATTCGGCAAAATTAGCATTTCTAATTTATTAGAGGATGAAATTATCCTGTGAAAAGACCAAACGGACATTTTGGATTTTGATTAAAGCAAATGCCTTTGTGGAAATTATTTGGACTGTTCTGATTTCTTTGAAGTCATGCTTGAGATGACTGATTAGACTCGAAGCTGTACGCACAAAGAATTTAAAGGTCGCTGTACTTTTTAACTTATTGAATCGGCTTCGTTTTAATTAATGGACCCAACAAATTGAACAGCGTTTTTACATATTTTACTCGTATATTTAGACACGGGCTAAATGTGTCTAACAATACATAAAATTTGATTTCTTGATGTTTCAACAAATCTATCTTAATCTTAAGCAAGGAAGGAAGGAAGGGAGGAAGCAAGGGCTTCCAATCTGTAGGTTCATTCAAATCTGAAATGCTCTAACTAAAGAACTAAGAATAACCTCACAATGGGGATGTTGCCTGGGTCAAAAAGCAAGAGTTTTAATTAGTCCGTCAGTTAACTTATCAAAAAATACTCTACACGTATTTTTCACTTTTTCAAACTAATGAAAATTTAAAGAGATAAAGCGCCCCAAAGTTCATAAGAAGAGGCCCGTGACGTCAACGCTTGCTTAAAAATGCCGCACGTTGTGACGTCGTGCGCAACTTCAACGCACCATAACTATGTAATTATTTGTTAGATTGACAAATAAAAATATATGTGTCCAATATTTTTTGATATTAAACATTACGGACTAAAAAAATTTTTTTAGGCAACTAGCCTATTTGCGTGCCCTACTAGTAATAATAAAACCTCTAAATAGTGTTATTATGAACTAGATCACTGATGTAAACTCAAAGCTCCTCGCAAAAAGCATTAAATATAATTATGATAATAAATTAGATCATCTTACAAATAAACTTCTGGATATTTTCGCACTCACCATCGATCACAAGCAGCACAACGCACCAAAGGAACATAACTCATAGGTTTTATACAATAAAGTCACATTGTAGCACGCCCATGGAATATGGATGCAAAGTAATAACCCGCCGTATATTTTATTGCTTATTGTATTGCAAAACTGGTGGTGGCATTATTTTCAGTTTCAAGAGAATTGAATGATGCTATGACGTGTATTCGTCTCTTGATACCAATTTTTATCGGGTCTTGAATTTATTTCATCTGCAAAAGCATATTTACTGTAGTTTTTCCTCTCGTATTTGTGAAGATAATAACAGAAAAGCAAATTAATTTTGTTATCAAGTCCCTGAATTGACATAACTATAGGATTTGAATGTTATAATTCCTAATTTGTGTAATGTGATCATATTTCTATTATTGCCCTGACTAAATACTAATATTCAATGTAATTTTATTATTTGTATCTGTTTACAAGGACAATTATATGACTGGAAATTAATTAAACAAAATGGTGCGATGCTTATAACTTTATTTATAATATTTTTAAGCATCTTTTGCTTATCACACTGTTACTGTATATAAATAAATCTCGAAAGGTCCGTTTTCAATCCGTGTCGTTTTGTATAAGTCGTCGTATATTTTAAAATCTAACATTTAATTCATTTCTTCTTCTCTGCCTCTGATTCTGCCGGTTGATCTTCTACTTCCACTTTATCTTCTACTTTCTTCTGTTCTACTCTTTTTTCTACCACCTTCTGTTCTTCTACTTCTTCGCCCTCGGCATCGTCAGCTGTAACAAAAATCAAAAATGTCTTGAACAATATACTTTTACAATGACTTGCGTTTTCGTAATTTGGAGTAGGTAATAAAATGTTTGGTTTCAAGACAATTTGATTACCATGTTATAACTTTTTTTCATTACTTTAATTATGGTAAGGATAATTTGTGTTACATTATTCGGTAACTAAATTTAAAAAAAGCAAACATTTCCCACGCTAAGGGGAATCTACAGTAAGGGTGTGCTTCAAGCAAAAGTAGTGCATTCCAAAACCTCCGATCTCTCTCAAAATTTAACTGAGTCAAATCAAGTCTTACACGCAAGGGGCGCCCGAGCACACGGAATAGAGGCTGCCGTTCGTGTAGCTGTAGCAGAGGCAAGCTTGACACGCCTCGTGGTACACGTCACCGGCGTACTGGCACAACTCGGGCCCTACAGACCCGCCAGACTATTATGAACCTTATTTGGTATAGGACTAACTTGACTTTTCTACTCATCGCCACCTTTTTAGATCGCCAGATTAATGTTGGTCTTATCCCTGAGATGTGTATCCGATTCTTTTCCTGTTAATACTTATTGCACTTTGAAACTATAAGTGGCTTAGATCCAATGATCTACAGGATTTCTGTTATAAAATATGTGCACAATTTATTATAGTTATTATCTAGTTAGGGCCTAGAGTTTATAATTAAGTTACAAATTCGTAATACATTGACGAAAACACTGCTCTGTATTTAACTTTTTACGTGCAGTTTTATTCTTAGGTGGCGAAAATTCTCGTCGGGTCGTCTAAGTACACATCAAGTTCCGAACTCCCGATCAAAGCAACGGGAAGTTCAAACTACTAATCTACTTACTGAAAACGTTTTCCAACGAAATTTTCAAGACGTTTGTGTACAAAAAATCCAATAAGTTAGCTCCAGCAAGGGATCCAATAGAAGTTTGATTGAATAGGAATTTGCATGAGACCCGAGCGCCATCTGCTCTTATAATATATTTTTAATTTATGTCCCGAAAGTTGTCGGAGTCCACGGGGATTACCGGGATATCCTTGTTAAAAATTATACGCAAGTTTCCCTAAATAATTTCCTTTACAAACTTTTTGCGGTTGACTTGGCAACTTTGTGAGTCTACTCACCAGATTTCGCGATTGCTGATGCGTGAGCGCCTGAAAAAATAAAATTAACAATTATATTTCAAGGAGAAGGGAATAAGACGAAAAAAAAATTGTTTTGCGATTATTTTCTCTATATCGTTTTAGAATAAATCAATTAGAATAAAATTAATATTGAAACTTACTAGCTGAAGATCCTCCGTAGAGCCCTTGAGCTGGATTTGGTCTCGCTGGGTAAAGGCTTCCGAATGGGCCTCCACCGCCAGCATTTGCTACCGCATCAGCTTCAGCCTCCGCCACACTTGATCCTGATCCTGGTAAACTCCCGACAACATATGGGCTGTATCCTCCCGAGTTTGCGTTTGCTGAAGCATCGGCTGACGCTGAGCTACCTCCTAATCCCCCATAACTTGGGCCATAGGCTGGTTGGTAAGGAGTCAACGCTGTTGATCCAGCGTTTGCATTCGCTAAAGCGTCTGCTGACGCTGATCCCCCGCCATATGAGTTAGCAAGAGCACTGGCATCAGCTGATGCGGAACCACCTCCATAACTTGGTCCATAACCTGGTTGGTAAGGACTATAACCTGATCCCGCATTGGCCAAAGCATTAGCTTCAGCTGAAGCAGATGCTGAGCCGATTGAACCTGGGTAGCTTGGGACTACGTCTGGGTTGTATGTGGTGTAGCCCGGTTGGTATGTGGTGTAACCCGGTTGGTATGTGGTGTAGCCCGGTTGATATGGGTATCCTCCGTCAACTGCAGCGTTAGCGCTAGCTTCCGCATTAGCTGAGGCGCTGTTACTTCCTGGGTAACCAGGTAATGGGTAGTATCCGATATTGCCGCCATTGGCATTAGCATTTGCGCTGGCATCCGCTATCGCTGAAGCACTGCCGCCGCCTGGGACTACATCGGGATAATAACTGGGGTAAGCTGGTTGATATGGACTGTATCCTCCATTGGCATTAGCGTTCGCGCTGGCATCGGCAATGGCTGACGCACTGCCACCTCCGGGGACAACGTCTGGGTAATATCCTGGGTAAGCCGGTTGGTATGGACTGTACCCTCCATTAGCTATAGCATTTGCACTAGCGTCTGCGCTTGCTGAAGAGCTACCGCCTCCTGGATAACCAGGCAGTGGATAGTATCCTATGTCTCCACCACCGGCATTGGCGCTAGCATCTGCAATAGCCGAAGCACTACCACCCCCTAAGTAACCCGGTTGGTATGGGCTATATCCTCCATTAGCAATAGCATTTGCACTTGCATCTGCGCTGGCTGAAGAGCTACCGCCTCCTGGGTAACCAGGAAGTGGGTAGTAGCCTATGTTACCACCACCTGCATTGGCATTGGCACTGGCATCTGCAATAGCTGATGCACCACCTCCTCCTAGGTATCCCGGCTGGTATGGGCTATATCCTCCATTTGCAATAGCATTTGCGCTAGCATCAGCACTTGCTGATGAACCACCGCCTCCTGGATAACCAGGCAATGGATAGTATCCTATGTTACCACTGTTGGCATTGGCGCTGGCATCTGCAATCGCCGAAGCACTGCCGGCTCCTGGGTAGCCTGGATATGGGCTGTATCCTCCATTGGCAATAGCATTGGCGCTGGCGTCTGCATTAGCTGAAGCACCACCTCCCTCAAGGTATCCCGGTTGGTATGGGCTATATCCTCCATTGACAATAGCATTTGCACTAGCGTCAGCACTTGCTGATGAGCCACCGCTTCCTGGGTAACTAGGAAGTGGGTAGTATCCTATGTTACCACCACCTGCATTGGCATTGGCACTGGCATCTGCAATAGCTGATGCACCACCTCCTCCAAGGTATCCCGGTTGGTATGGGCTATATCCTCCATTTGCAATAGCATTCGCGCTGGCATCTGCAATAGCCGAAGCACTGCCGCCTCCTGGGTAGCCTGGATATGGGCCGTATCCTCCATTGGCAATAGCATTTGCGCTAGCATCAGCACTTGCTGATGAGCCACCGCCTCCTGGGTAGCCTGGATATGGGCTGTATCCTCCATTGGCAATAGCATTGGCGCTAGCGTCTGCAATAGCTGAAGCACCACCTCCTCCAAGGTATCCCGGTTGGTATGGGCTGTATCCTCCATTTGCAATAGCATTGGCGCTAGCGTCTGCAATAGCTGAAGCACCACCTCCTCCAAGGTATCCCGGTTGGTATGGGCTATATCCTCCATTTGCAATAGCATTCGCGCTGGCATCTGCTATAGCCGAAGCACTACCGCCTCCTGGATAGCCTGGATATGGACTGTATCCTCCATTGGCAATAGCATTGGCGCTGGCGTCTGCAATAGCTGAAGCACCACCTCCTCCAAGGTATCCCGGTTGGTATGGGCTGTATCCGCCATTTGCATTAGCTGATGCGTGCGCGTGGGCGTCAGCACTGGCAGATCCACCGGGGTAGTAGGGCAGTGGCAATGGTCGAGGAGCTGAAAGCAAGAAGAAAAAAAAAATATTGCCTCTACAAATTAAGTGTGATAAGTACATAAATGTGCGATGAATGCCTACGAATGTTTTTACCTAACTTTAACAATCAAATTAATGCTAAGACCATTGTCTGAGCAATAAACTCCTTTACCTAACCGCTTGATGGCCAAAAGGCACCAGTTCCGAAACCGAGCGGGGAACAACAAAACAAAAAGTGCAATTACGAGCTACCCCTCAACAGCTATCAAGGGCGAACGAATTCGATAAACGGCAACGAGAAAGCAAGCGGTCAATCATTGGCGCGCGGTTTGCGCGGCTGATTGTTACGTTGATTGACCATTGATCGCACCCAAGATATACGGGGCCACAGCGGAAATAAAAAAGCTTGCCAACGTCCTACGCTGACTGGTAGTTTCAAATCGATTCACAGAAAGTTATCTGAGACAGACATTTATCCAAACAGATCGATTAAATAGGTATAACAATACTTTTCAAGTGGTAGTACGTTGAATTTATTTTACGAAGGTGATATAAAATTTTGAAGATCTAAAGGCATTTAATGGAAATTGGCTGTTTAGTTTCAGCTGTGTCCATTGACGATCCCTTATTGCGTCCTGGACAAAACGCTCCGAAATTGGACGGTTGAATTTCGCGTTTTAACAGCACCTGAGTCGATGGCAAAATTTTACTCCACTTCTGACGTACATGTCGCGTCGTAAATGTTTAGTACATCACAGAGGGCGTTAGCGCAGGTGTTTGCGGTCGCCAATAAATGTTTTTATTTTTCATGACGCTCGGTTTCAGTATGTTTATTACACATTCGGGTCTGTAAAAGCGTAGGGTGAAACAAAAATTCAAACTGAATTAACTTTTTGATGACCACCGTCTATTGTTGGGACTAAATTGATTTTATTTTAGTGGTGTTACTGCCTGAGTATCTATTCAAGTTTGGTTTCGATAATTTTTTACACTGTTTAGAAATGTTTGATTATCAACATTGTCCATCGTCTGAGAATACTATTTAGGATTTTCATAATTATAGATAGTCATTGATTTTTCTGCTGATGTTTTTACATCCATTCTTGTTCTTCAGTAATTTTAGTTATTTCAAGACATTTTCCTGATAATGTAGAATAGTGAAGTCTACCTGCTTATTTCATCCTTGCAATTAACTGTACGGCAACTTTTTCCACGTACACAAGTTTAAAGCAAGCGTAAAACATATTCTCGAGTGCATGCAAGTTTCCAATCACGTATCGTGTATTGAAAACTTCATAAATATCGCACGTTTTCAATATTACAAAGTTAAATTAACATTGCGACGTCCACATTTGCAGGTGACTTGAGTTCGCAGCGGAATAGTATTTTGCAAGAATTCTGTTTGAGTTTCAATTGGTATTGGAATTTTGATTTGTCCTGCAGATTTGTGAGGTTGGGATCTGAATTGTGCTATTATGTATTATTGAGACAAATACTTACGGAGTCCACCATCATTACCTATAACAAAAAATAATAATTTGATTATCCAATAAATAAAAATTCGGAGTTATATGAAATGATCTTTTAATGACACAATTCAAAAACTAAGAATCAATTAGAAATGGACTTACGGAATTAGAATCTTCTAATGACATAACTCAAAAACTGGACAAAAATCAATCAAAGATGGACTTACAGCAAGACTTCTTCGTGTAGCAGTTGACCTCAATGATGATTTTGTTTAGCGTGTAGGTCTCGCTGCACATGCAGACCTGACACTCGTCCCATGGATGCTGGAACGGTTGGTTAGGTGGGAACGGGCGGCAAGATTCATCTGAAAAGTCAAGTCAAATCGCTATAATCATAAAGTGATTTTGAATATTAGGTAATTTATAACTCCCACTTCATCGCGATTTCACTAAAATTACAGCCTTTTTATGAAAAAAAAAACTAAATTTTTTGAGCTACACTGGTAAAGCAATATTTTGTCAGTTTTTTTTTGTTTTCGAATAAAAAAGGAAAAAAGGAACTTACGCGGTGGAGGTCCTGGCAAGGGGCTTGGGTTCACATCGGGTACAGGGGGCCACGGTACTATAAAAACAAAAAAATATTGATTCACCAGTGTAGTGTAACGATTATTATATTTATATTACACTGGACGTTAAAAATGTTAAAATATTAGTGCATTTAAATGCCATGGTACATCATAGTGATGTGTTTTTAGGATTATTAATTTTAGACCAAGTATGGAGACGCGAAAAGAATATTTTGAACTTACACGGCTCTGGCACTGGCACTGGCACTGGTATCGGCACAGGGACAGGTGCAGGGGTCGGTTCTGAGAAGTAAATAATGTATTTCAGACCTCAAGAAATAGGACACCTTTATTCTTACGAAACTATTAACAATGGCAGTAATCATTATGTTATCTTACGACAAGACTTTGGATAATTGATATTGAAGTTGATCTTGACAACCAAGACACTATTAGTGACTGAATTTCTTGCGCTGCTTCTTCTCAGCACTGGCCCATTTATTGTCCCGAAGCAGTGGTAGGGTTAATATTGGGTGTGTAAAAGTGCTTTTTAAATGCCATTTGCAAAAATAAATGAGTTTTGAGTTTTACTATTTTGGAACACAATTTTCGCATGAAAGTGATCATCATATTGTAGAAGATATCTCAAAACATACCACATGATGGATTCGGGAAGCAGATCAACTGTTTGACTTGTTCGACGGCGAAGACCAGGGGAGCGATGCATTTGCACAACTGGCACACGTCATTGGGGTGAGGAAACAGAACTTCCAGAGGGAACTGCTCGCACAGAGGCACTGGAATGACATAACAGGTAAAAGAAAGAAGAAAGAGGAATAAGAAGTTATGTTAATGGCTTTACCTGATCACCTGCTTAAAACCCTAAATGCTTAAACCCTTTTGACAAAATTGTCGAATGATTTATTCTCAATTGAAGCCTATGATGATACAGAATTAAATTTGGACAAACTTTCACTGCTTATTGATAGTAAAAGACAAATCAAGGCAATTTAATATACGAAGAAATACTTACATGGTATCGGTTCTGGGGCCGGTGCTGTAAAAATAAATAAAAATAATTAAAAATCATAAAGTATACTTATTTACTTAAAACTACGTATATTAAGACTTACGTAACTCCTTGAAAACCTCATAATTGGATTAATGTTCTAATAATATTACAAGTTAAAAATCAGCTTTGATATTACTCGACATTGTTATTGGGGTAAAAAAAATCAAAAAGAATAATACGCATGTAATATTAATATTTCTTGAATCTGAACTTACGCAACGTTGTTACATCTGGTGGTAAAACTAAAGAGAAAAAATATAATTGTGCGTGTAAATGACGGCTCATCAAAAATGGATCAAGAACCTATTCTTTAAGGAAATACTAAAATTTCTCTATCGTTCAATGATTATAAAATTTGCAAGTTCCACTTACCGCATTCAGGGTTGTCCTGGCACGTGATCTGGACGTCGGGTCTTCCTTGGAAGAAGTCGAAGGTCTCCCGGCAGACGCAGATTTGGCACGGGTTCAGAGGGTTCTGGAAGGGTGTGTTGGATGGCAGTGGAGCGCAGGTCACTGAAATTAGAATTACATATAGAATCGTATTTTTCACAATACTGCTAATTTATAATATCAATGTATGTATCTTATTATATTTGTACCTAGTAGGTATATGAATTTGAAAATATTTCTGTTGTTTCTGTTTGAAATACGTAATAGTGATCTTATGATGAGAACTATTACATACCTGTGGGAATTGGGGGTGGTGGTGGTGGCGGCGGTTGTGGTGGAGGTATAGGTGGGAATGGCGGTATTGGCGGGAGTGGCGGTATTGGTATAGGTGGCGGCGGCGGCGGAGGTGGCGGTGGAATTGGCCTTGGGGGCGGCGGTGTAGGCCGAGGCGGCGGAGGCGGCGGCGGAGGTCTCTGGCAGCCGCCGCAGCTCGCGCACACCGCGCTCAAGTCATTCATACACACGCAGACCATACAATCGTAGCCCACCGCCCACACATAGTGCAGCTCGCCGGGCCTCGTACAGTACACAATGTCTTGACCTCCTGCAAATACCAATCAAGCGACATAAAAACGAAACCTCAAAGCCAAATCTCAAAAGCCACAAGCTGTCTTTCAAATTAAGCTTAGCGTTGTAATAAAATAACACGTACCTGGTATTAGGTGTGGTTGTATGTATTCATTGTATGGGACTACTCTCGAAAAAACATCTAAAAGTGAAACATAAATAAAAATATTCAAATATGGCCTTCACTAAACGTATTAAGGAATACAAACTGAAATTACCTGTAACGGTATATCTGGTTTTGAATTTATTTCTGAAAGAAAGCCATTTTGGCACGGAACCTAAATCTTCGAATAAGTTGAAAGATATGCTTAATTAAAACAAACAATTTGAATGGTAAAGTTTATTGTGAAAACAGAAAACACAAACAAATCAGGTTGATCATTATCAATACTTACTTGCGCCTACGTTGGCTAAAGCGTTGGCGTTAGCGTTAGCGGAGCTAGGGCCGTACCCGCCGGCGTTGGCGAGGGCGTTGGCGTTAGCCTGAGCAGAGCCTCCTCCTAGTCCGGGGTAAAAAGGGTATGGAAACCCCCCTCCTGCGCCACCTTGAGCCAAAGCTTGGGCGTTTGCTTGAGCTGAACTGCTTCCACCAGGTACGCCGTAAGGTCCGTAGCCTCCTCCTCCGAGAGCGTTAGCCTGAGCGCTTGCTTCTGCCTGGGCTTGAGCTGAACCCCCTCCGTAGCCGCCAGGGACTACATATGGGTAGGGTGAATAGCCCCCGGCGCCTCCTTGAGCGATGGCCTGAGCATTCGCCGCGGCGTTAGCAGATGCGCCTCCGTAACCCGGCACTGGCCCGTACCCGCCTGCGCCGCCTTGAGCGATAGCGTTCGCTGCAGCGTTGGCTGAAGCAGAACCACCTCCGTAACCAGGAACGACAGGAACAATATGTGGATATGGCGCATAACCTCCTCCACTGGCAAGCGCTTGAGCTTGAGCTTGAGCTTGAGCGGCAGCTTGTGCTTGAGCAGCTGCCTGGGCTTGAGCTTGAGCTTGAGCTTGAGCTTGGGCTTGAGCTTGAGCTTGTGCAGCGGCGTGGGCAGCCGCTTGTGCCTGAGCGATAGCCTGTGCCTGGGCTTGAGCTTGAGCAGCAGCTTGAGCTTGAGCTTGAGCTTGAGCAGCGGCGTGGGCAGCAGCTTGAGCTTGAGCAACGGCCTGTGCTTGGGCTTGAGCTTGAGCAGCAGCTTGAGCCTGAGCTTGGGCTTGAGCTTGAGCCTGAGCAGCGGCCTGGGCGGCAGCTTGTGCTTGAGCAACAGCCTGTGCTTGGGCTTGAGCTTGAGCTTGAGCTTGTGCTTGAGCATAAGCAGCGGCTTGAGCTCGTGCAGCGGCCTGAGCTTGAGCAATGGCTTGGGCTTTAGCAGCGGCTGCGGCTTGGGCCTGAGCTTGAGCTTGAGCAATAGCTTGAGCCTGGGCAGCAGCCTGCGCCTGTGCTTGAGCGGCGGCCTGAGCTTGGGCAATGGCTTGTGCCTGAGCTTGTGCCTGAGCTTGAGCTTGAGCTGCAGCTTGGGCTTGAGCTTGCGCCTGAGCTTGAGCTTGAGCAGCAGCTTGGGCTTGAGCTTGAGCGGCAGCCTGGGCTTGAGCTTGAGCTTGAGCAGCAGCTTGGGCTTGAGCTTGAGCTTGTGCTTGAGCGGCAGCTTGGGCTTGAGCTTGAGCTTGAGCTTGAGCTTGTGCTTGAGCGGGAGCTTGGGCTTGGGCTTGAGCTTGAGCTTGAGCTTGGGCTTGAGCTTGAGCTTGCGCTTGTGCTTGAGCTTGAGCAGCGGCTTGGGCTTGTGCTTGTGCCTGAGCGGCTGCGCTAGCGCCAGCAGAACCTCCTCCTGGGNTGAGCTTGAGCGGCAGCCTGGGCTTGAGCTTGAGCTTGAGCAGCAGCTTGGGCTTGAGCTTGAGCTTGTGCTTGAGCGGCAGCTTGGGCTTGAGCTTGAGCTTGAGCTTGAGCTTGTGCTTGAGCGGCAGCTTGGGCTTGGGCTTGAGCTTGAGCTTGAGCTTGGGCTTGAGCTTGAGCTTGCGCTTGTGCTTGAGCTTGAGCAGCGGCTTGGGCTTGTGCTTGTGCCTGAGCGGCTGCGCTAGCGCCAGCAGAACCTCCTCCTGGGACTACGTACGGCCCGTATCCTCCTCCGCCAGCTTGAGCGTTCGCTTGAGCATTGGCTTCAGCTGAAGCACTGCCTCCTGGGCCATAGCCTCCAGGGTAAACTGGTGAATATCCTCCTGCTCCGGCATTAGCGTTGGCGTTAGCGTTGGCTACGGCATTCGCAGAGCCGCCAGGGTAACCGCCAGGGTAGTATCCGCCGCCTCCACCTGCAGCGTTGGCATTAGCGTTGGCTTGGGCTTGAGCATTCGCAGCGCCGCCAGGGTAGCCGCCAGGGTAGTATCCGCCGCCTCCACCTGCAGCGTTGGCATTAGCGTTGGCTTGGGCTTGAGCATTCGCAGCGCCGCCAGGGTAGCCGCCAGGGTAATATCCGCCGCCTCCACCTGCAGCGTTGGCGTTAGCGTTGGCCTGGGCTTGAGCATTCGCAGCGCCGCCAGGGTAACCGCCAGGGTAATATCCGCCGCCGCCTCCACCTGCAGCGTTGGCATTAGCGTTGGCTTGGGCTTGGGCACTTGAAGACCCGCCTACTGGAGAGAAAGGAGAATACGGATAGCTGCTTCCACCTCCTGCACTATTGGCTTGAGCGACGGCGCTGGCATGCGCTGAAGACCTAGACACAGATGCGGCGTATCCCGGGCCAGTTCTTACGGCGGTTTGATAAGATCCATTTTCATCTTCGTAATGATCTTCACTTTCATATCCCTCGTCGGAATAACGATCTTGGTTGGCCTTGGTTACACGAGCTCCACGGCCGCCTTGTGTTGCCTTGTACACTTTATACGGTCTGTTTTTCCTTGATGAATAATCTTCGTTTGAACTATCATCACCGCGCTTACCACCGTCATGGGCCGAGCCGTACACTTGGTCAACACCCTCAGAGTCGTCCACCTGGTCTGAGTAAGCTGAAATAAATCAGAAACACTGATTACAATCACTACATGAAATTAAGAGATCAAAAAAATCTATGTTAAATTAAATAACGAAAAGTTTTGACGTACCTTTAAAATCTAAACACGTAGGAATTTTGACCCGTTTAATAACGTTCTAACTGTGGTTTTCTTAAATAAAATTCAATCTAAACTCACCAGGGTTGAGATCTTCATCGGCTGTAGTACTAGATAGCAACAAGGCCAGGAGGGCTAACCCCCAGATGATGGCCTTTTGCATCTTTTATTTTTTATCTAGCCTCTTAAAACATAAACCTGTTTACTAGATGCCTTCCCAAGCCCGATCTTGATGGTTGGTCTCAGTTGTACCTTCCTTTTAAACATGTCTTAATGCAGTGTGAAAATAGTGATATATGATTTATTAGTGTAGCAATCTAGTTCTAGTTTGAAACGCCATGTTTTTGGATTCGCTTCGGTACTAATAGATGTCACTTGCTATTTGATTGATGGAAAAGTAATCAAAAATACGATATGTTTTGTTTAGAGTTCTGTATTAAAATTCAAATTAAAATATTTTATTCAGTACCTACATAGGCCCTTTCCAGTGCACTTATACACGTCCGAAATGTTCTTGATACTGATAAATTGTTACTTTAAAGTAAGCTAAGGTTTTTACTTACTATTATAAAATGACTACACGTATTTATTACACTGGTCAACACATGTTTTGTTGCCTTTAAATTTGTTCTGTTATTGGGTATTTCTATGGCCCTGATTATCAAAAAAAATACCACCCCTAACCTTCTTCGATTGTCCGAAAATTCTAATGAAATCTTTTATGCTGCTCCTCACTAAAATCACCCACATTTTGTGAAAATCGATGTTAATGCGAGTACATGAAGTGTATTTTTATGCCCATGTTGCACCCTAACCCTTGCAAGTTGGATAGCTTAAAGTTGTGTGTGTGGAAAGCCGCACTGGTCAAAAGTTTTTTAAATCTTTTTTTTAAATCTTTAATCTTTAAATCTTTTGGACAACTTCACACAGCGCCAGCTAGCCCCAAAGTAAGCAACTTAATGCTTGTGTTATGGGTGCTAGCTTAACGGATATACTACTTATATACTTTTTTTTTTTTAAATACATAAATATTATACATAGTCACACCCAGACCCGTCACAGAAATTAAAATTCATCATTTCAATTTCTGCCTGGCCGGGAATCGAACCCGGGACCTCTCGGCATAGTAGTCCATTCTGAACCACTACACCAAACGGCCGACGACGAATCAATGCTATTGTTTCTTTCGATTATTCCAGAGACACCATGGAACGGTAACTTTGTGTATCCCCCTTGTTGGTCTAAAAGAAGTTACTTATTCTCAGAACAAAAATGACCCATTTGTGGTCTTTATTACTTAATTTCAAATATTTATTTTAAAGTGTCGATGTTACGCAGTTTTCATCGAGTCCGATAGAGGTTTTCGATATTTTTCAAATATTATAATATTTACCACAAACATAGCAGAAGCAATCTGGATTAAGCACACAACATCTTCATAACGAAGCAATATCGAAAATACCAACAAAATATTTTTTTTTCCAATTAAATCAAAAATCTAATTAAAAATATTAAATGAGGGTAGATAGCTATAACACATAAACAAAAGCTGTTAGTGAAAAACTGTTGCTGCTGTTGCCATATTTAAAAAATATGCGTCTATTTGAGATAGAAACAGAAAAAAAATCACAAGAAACAATTTTTTTTTTTGTTGACCAGTGTTATTATTTTCTCTTAATTGTATTTGGAAATATTAAATAAGTAGTAATATTTTGTATTATTTTATTTTACTAAATTATATCATCTTGCGCGAATAAGAATTTCACTTAAAGAAATTCACTTTAAGGGGAAAATAACTATTACCTAACACTCATTATACACTGATTAAAATTAATTGAGGGAACGCAAAAGAATTTGTCTTTTGAAAGGCCGGTACAGACGTTTTACTTCGCGAAGGTATTTAAAAAAATGTATGCTCAATGTCAATAACAATATGGTGTAATTTAGCCTGTCTCAAGAGTCAAGCACCATTTTGTTGACAAACGTCAGTGATCGGCACTGCGCCGAAGCTATAGGGCTCACTTCGGTAAAATGATGAGATGTGAGGTGCCAAACTGCGGAAAATGGCGGAGGAAATACATGATTTAGCATGAATTATCATGAATAATATTAACTACTTATTTACCTCTCAGTGTCTTGAGGCAACTTAAAAAAGTAAATTCTGTGTTTTTATTATTATTTAGGCAGTTAAATACTGCACAGTATTTAGTACACCATTTTCTTTATTTTCTTCCATCATACATAAGAATACGCGTGCGTGAGTCAATGTTCGCTCGTATGTGAGGCCTTGTCGAATAGTATCCTGTAGGTGGGCCATCGTGCGTGTTTTGTTATCGATGTAAACTCGCGGAGATGAACACAATGAACAGGCCTGGTATTATGATGTATTTGTTATTTTTAATTGGATACAAAAATATTTTTAAGTAAGAACCCATGAAACAGTTATGTCATTTCAATTTATTTTAAATTATTTTTTTCTCGTGCAAAAGCTGAATCGATTATTTTACCACGCCATTCAAACGAACTCATTGTTCAATTAAGTTGATGTATTTTTTTTCTTTGTACGAGTATACTTATTTTGTTAAGCGGTCGGAGTTTTTTTTTATTTTATTGAGAAAACCAACAGCGTATTTATACAATTTTAGCATACATAAATTTAACACACAATATGACCAATAACAGGTTTCCCTTAAATTATTACCAAATATTAGTAAAGGTTGGACTGCTACTAATACCTATCCATACAACACTACCTAAACAATACACAACAAAACAAAGATCATCCCGATAGCCAACTCAATGGTCAGTTGAGATACAGAAAAGATATTATGTAGTTTACATCTTACTATCAATACCAATTGAAATAATTTTATTCAATAAACAGTGAACATTTTTTTATTTAAATTGTCTTGTAATGTACTGTTTTATAAAAAACTAGCTGACCCGGCGAACTTCGTACCGCCTTAGCGTAGAGATTTTCTTAATATTTTTTTCCGTAAGAACCATCCTTGGACTTCCACAAACATTTAAAAAAAAGAATTATCGAAATCGGTTCAGCCGTTCACACGTGATGCCGTGACAACGCGAAACGGGTTTCATTTTTATATATGATTCAGAAACTATTAATTTTGGTTACCACCAGCCAAATAGAGTGATTCAAGATGAACGTGTATATGTATACTTAGCACCCGAGCGAAGCCGGGGCGGGTCAATAGTCGTTTATAAAATAGTATCAATAGTAATAATGCATTTAATGCTCGCAAGAAATCAGAAAATTAAATATTAATTCGCTTTTAACTTATCAATTCAGTAAATAATACCCTTGTTGTATTTGTGTGATATATTTTTGTGTGATTGTGGTGAATTAAAAAAGCATAAAGGCCTATTTGAAATAAAAATGCAGTAGTATCCCACTAAAATTTATTGTTTTATACAAAAGTGTGAAGCTTACTCGACTGTCATTTTATAATTGCTCAAACTAAAACTAAACTGATCAGATCCGATGTTCCGGCGTTGTCATTGAGGGAGATCATTGTGATGTAATTCATGGTACTCTGCAACAAATAAAAACCAAGATTAATTAATGAGTTTAGCTTTAGTCATTTAGCTACTTGAAAAGAAGTTTGCAATATTTCATGGATCTACTTTAATGTATTAATATACAATAATAAATTATTACACTGAACGGCCTTTTATAAATCTTGTTATCGATATAATATCTATAGCTTGAGGTCAAATCAGAACCAAACTGGTTAAACAAATAAATGGATAAACTGTGTAAAACTATTTGTCATAGTAAATTCGATTGAAGGATACTTACATGTATTTACTCGGCATGGTCTTCGACGAAAGCCATCCTTGGGCTCACGCTACGCCTTGCCCTAGCCTCCTCGGAGGCCTCTGCGGACTCAGCGCTTCTAAAGCCAAACCCGTTGGCGTTGGCATTGGCGAGCGCGTTGGCACTAGCGGAAGCGCCGCCTAAACCGCCAGCGTTGGCCAAGGCATCAGCAGCAGCGTTGGCAGAAGAGCCTCCAAGACCGCCCCAACCACCAGCATTCGCCTGAGCGTCTGCTAAAGCGGAAGCAGAACTGCCTCCTAATCCAGCGTTTGCTAGGGCATCAGCATGAGCATTAGCTGAGCTGCCGCCGTGTCCTCCCCAACCTCCTGCATTGGCTATGGCATCAGCAGCGGCGTTGGCAGAGCCTCCACCAAGTCCACCCCAACCTCCAGCATTGGCTGTGGCGTCAGCTTGAGCATTAGCGGAGCTACCGCCTAAACCACCCCATCCACCAGCGTTAGCTAGGGCATCAGCTTGAGCGTTGGCTGAGCCGCCTCCTAAACCTCCCCATCCACCAGCGTTAGCTAGGGCATCAGCTTGAGCGTTGGCTGAACCGCCTCCAAGACCTCCCCATCCACCAGCGTTAGCTAGGGCATCAGCTTGAGCGTTGGCTGAGCCGCCTCCTAGGCCTCCCCATCCACCAGCGTTAGCTAGGGCATCAGCTTGAGCGTTGGCTGAGCCGCCTCCTAAACCTCCCCATCCTCTAGCGTTAGCTAGGGCATCAGCTTGAGCGTTGGCTGAGCCGCCTCCAAGACCTCCCCATCCACCAGCGTTAGCTAGGGCATCAGCTTGAGCGTTGGCTGAGCCGCCTCCCAGGCCTCCCCATCCTCCAGCATTAGCTAGAGCGTCGGCTTGAGCGTTAGCAGAGCTTCCACCTAGTCCACCCCAACCTGCAGCGTTGGCCAAAGCCTCAGCATTAGCAGAGCTACCTCCTAGTCCACCCAGTCCTTGAGCTTGTGCCTGAGCTTGAGCTAAAGCCTCAGCAAGAGCACCTCCAACACCTCCTTGAGCTTGAGCTTGGGCCTGAGCTTGAGCTAGAGCCTGGGCGAGACCAGCACCACCAGCGCCTCCTTGAGCTTGAGCTTGTGCTTGAGCTAGAGCCTCTGCAAGGGCATTTCCGGCAGCTCCTCCCTGAGCTTGAGCTTGCGCCTGTGCTTGAGCTAACGCCTGGGCGAGACCAGCACCAGCAGCACCTTGAGCTTGAGCTTGTGCCTGAGCTTGAGCTAGAGCTTGAGCGAGACCAGCACCACCAGCCCCTCCTTGAGCTTGAGCTTGCGCCTGAGCCTGAGCCAGAGCTTGAGCGAGACCAGCACCACCAGCGCCTCCTTGAGCTTGAGCTTGCGCCTGAGCTTGAGCTAATGCATCAGCTAGTCCGCCGCCTATACCGCCTCCCTGAGCTTGAGCTTGCGCTTGAGCTTGAGCTAGGGCCTGCGCAAGGCCGCCACCAAGAGCGCCTCCCTGAGCTTGAGCTTGAGCTTGAGCCTGAGCAAGAGCATCAGCGGCACCCAAACCTCCTAATCCAGCAGCTTGAGCTTGCGCTTGTGCTTGTGCGAGGGCAGCAGCGCTTCCAAGTCCTCCAGCGCTACCCAAAGCTTGCGCTTGGGCGATAGCGTCTGCGACTGAAAGTCCTCCGAGTCCTAGAGCTTGGGCCTGCGCCAAAGCGGATGCGATTGCGGTTCCTCCTAGTCCTCTAGCTTGAGCATGAGCTAAAGCCTCAGCAACTGTAGCACCGGCTAAACCTGATGCCTGAACAGCGGCGAGGGCTTGAGCTAGAGCCGATGCGCCTCCAATTCCATCTCTAAGAGATGGTCCACCGCCAGCCATAGCTTCCGCTTGGGCGATAGCCTGTGCAATTGAGAGTCCTCCAAGTCCCAGAGCTTGGGCTTGCGCCAAAGCAGAAGCGATAGCTGTTCCTCCTAGTCCTTGAGAGGTAGCATGAGCTAAAGCCTCAGCAACTGTTAAACCGCCTAAGCCTGATGCCTGAGCGGCAGCGAGGGCTTGAGCTAGGGCTGATGCGCCTCCAATACCATCTCTGAGAGATGGTCCACCGCCAGCCAAAGCTTGTGCTTGGGCGATAGCCTGTGCAATTGAGAGTCCTCCGAGTCCTAGAGCTTGAGCCTGAGCCAAAGCGGAAGCGATGGCAGTTCCTCCTAAACCTTGAGCTTGGGCTTGAGCTAAGGCTTCAGCGACGGATCCACCGCCGATGCCTGACGCCTGAGCGGCAGCGAGGGCTTGAGCTAGGGCCGATGCGTCTCCAATTCCGCCTCTGAGTCCTCCAGCCAAAGCTTGTGCTTGGGCGATAGCCTGTGCAATTGAGAGTCCTCCGAGTCCTAGGGCTTGGGCCTGAGCCAACGCGGAAGCGATGGCAGTTCCTCCTAAACCTTGAGCTTGGGCTTGAGCTAAGGCTTCAGCGACGGATCCACCGCCGATGCCTGACGCCTGAGCGGCAGCGAGGGCTTGAGCTAGGGCCGATGCGTCTCCAATTCCGCCTCTGAGTCCTCCAGCCAAAGCTTGTGCTTGGGCGATAGCCTGTGCAATTGAGAGTCCTCCGAGTCCTAGGGCTTGGGCCTGAGCCAACGCGGAAGCGATGGCAGTTCCTCCTAAACCTTGAGCTTGGGCTTGAGCTAAGGCTTCAGCGACGGATCCACCGCCGATGCCTGACGCCTGAGCGGCAGCGAGGGCTTGAGCTAGGGCCGATGCGTCTCCAATTCCGCCTCTGAGTCCTCCAGCCAAAGCTTGTGCTTGGGCGATAGCCTGTGCAATTGAGAGTCCTCCGAGTCCTAGGGCTTGGGCCTGAGCCAACGCGGAAGCGATGGCAGTTCCTCCTAAACCTTGAGCTTGGGCTTGAGCTAAGGCTTCAGCGACGGATCCACCGCCGATGCCTGACGCCTGAGCGGCAGCGAGGGCTTGAGCTAGGGCCGATGCGTCTCCAATTCCGCCTCTGAGTCCTCCAGCCAAAGCTTGTGCTTGGGCGATAGCCTGTGCAATTGAGAGTCCTCCGAGTCCTAGGGCTTGGGCCTGAGCCAACGCGGAAGCGATGGCGGTTCCTCCTAAACCTTGAGCTTGGGCTAGAGCTAAGGCTTCAGCGATGGATCCACCGCCGATGCCTGACGCCTGAGCGGCAGCGAGGGCTTGAGCCAGTGCAGATGCGCCACCTCGGGCACCAGAGGCGTGGGCATTAGCCAAGGCCTCGGCAAGTGCTGAGCCTCCATTGAGGCCTCCCAAAGCGTTAGCATTGGCGATAGCATTGGCACTGGCATCAGCGCCACCGAATCCACCGTTAGCGTTTGCGTTGGCAGAGGCATGAGCGTTTGCACTGCCACCAAAGATTACTGAAAAGAAAATGAAAATTAAAACTATGCACTATGGTATGAATCCTCATTCAATTTAGGATTTGGACACACTGGATGTGCCAGTCAAATATAAGCATAGAGACTGATAATGTTGTTCGTACATGATGCGGGCTTAATGTGGCAAATCCTTTAAGTGCAATAGATAGTGTGAAAAAAAATTAATAATTTTAGTTCGGTTCGTCATTTATGCCTATTTAGGCATCAATCATAAAATATAATCAACGATTTCATTGATAGCATGAAAAGTTATTGATGTTTCTATTCGAGATAAAAACTAGCCTGAACTTGTCCGATGATTGTATTATACTATACTCACTCATGCTTAAATTTGGGTGGTAGATACCAAAAAAAATCACTCACTTGGACCCGGAATCGGACCGGGAATTGGACCAGGAATTGGTCCTGGCATTGGACCTGTAAAAATATGATAAGTATAATTTAATCGAATCCTTTTTTTTTTTAATTCAAATTCAAATTATTTATTTTCAGAATGTGGTACATTACATGTTACATAATGAAATGGAGCAGGAGACTTTCTTTTATTAAATTTCATAATGGAAGTTCTTGAAACTGTATATGAATGAAACTTACCAAGACATCCAGGGATGGGTTGAGACTCAATGTAGACGTAGTTGTATTTGACCCTGCACACGTGTATGCGGCACCTGTCTCCAGGGATCGTGAAGGTAGTCAAAGGTCTTTGTCCTCGGCAAAGCGGACCTAAAAGGGGGAATCAAAATGTAAAGGGTTTATTTTAAAGAACTTTAATTTATGTAAGTGAACAACAAAGGCTTTAACTTTGTTGTTAAATATGTGAGAGCTAAGTTACTCACTAATGTAGATGATGACTGGCACTGGGTAGTACTTGGTAGCTGAAACAAAAATAATATCATACACATCTGAATGTATTCTAAAATGTATTGTATTGAACGCTGTTCTTATTTTAAATGGCGTCAAATAGTTGACACATGAAGTAGCCAAAAAGTTCGCAACACGTCTTTGTTACAATTTGAATAAAGTTGTGTTGTCAACTTTTTGACAACTTTGGGTGTCACGAACTATTTGACGTCGACTGTACACAAAATTATAAAAAGATGTTAGTAATAAAAAACAGCGTTTTTATTTTCAATTCTTTTGTATTCATCAGTACAATAAAATATAGAAATCACAAATAAAAGCAAAATATTAATCAACTTACTGCTGACCGGCACTGGTACTGGGATGATTCTGTCTCTTCCAGGGATTGTGATGTATCTGTTGTACGGTACAGCGATAGGGATCGGCGGGCCGCGGATCGGATAGGGTATCGGGATCGGTCTCTCTGGGCCAGGTACAGGCACAGGTCTGGTGACTGGGTACGGGATTAGTTTAGGCGGTGACGGCACTGGGTACGGCCTGTTGATCGGTACTGGGTACGGCACTTTTTGTGGGTACGGTACTGGTATGCTTGGGCCGCGGATGTAGATCTTCTCGGGCGGTGAGGGCACAGGGTACGGTACTGGTACCAACACCCGTTTCCCCGGCACAGGTACAGGCACCGGGTAGGGCCTGGGAGGACCTGGGATGATTATTGGGTGCGGGCCTGATGAAAATATATTGTTTTATTTTTACTTGAGCAGTTGTTTTCTTCAGTCTTCGGAATATTAACAAATTAATTAATTAATTATAGCAGTTTTACTTACAAATCGGTTGTGGTGGCCATGGGATAGGCCTTGGTGGCACCGGTGGTGGTGGTGGCGGAACTGGCGGGGGTGGCGGGGGTGGCGGAGGGGGTACTGGTGAAATAAATTGATTAAGTCGTTTTAAGACATATGCAATTCAGTTTTTACATAGCAATTTGAAACTTGAAGCTGGCATCTTCCAAGTGTAAACAATAGAGGCCGATAATAATTCAAGTATTATAATTTCTTTAATAAATTAATTTAAAAAGCAACGTTAAATTTTGTTTTTAGCAATAAAAAGCATTAGTGTCTGATAATTTAATCGTTATATTGAAAAATAAAATTATAATTAATGTTAGTAGGATAAAAAAGATGACACGAATGAATTCAGAAATTCACGGTAATAGAGAAAAATAAAAATATTTTACCTGGTATAATTGGGTCTGTAAATGAAAAATGGTAAAGTGAAGTGTTCAACCTACAATGTAGTACTATAATGCTAATGCAAGTAGTTTTTCATTATTTTCAGTTATTCTAATATTTTTGTGTACCTACTGAAATATATTTTGCATTGTATATAAATACTACAAATAAAGTTTTCTCAAATTACTATTTATTTAAATAGAAATAATTTTGCTTTTATAAGACTCTAATTTGATCAATCTTCTAAATTACCACCGGTATTATTGTTTAATCCGAGAAGATGCCTTAAAATATATTTTTTATTTTGCATTCTCGAATAAGTAAATATAATAGTATTTACCTGGGATTGGTCCAGGGGGCACTGAAAAACGGCGACGAACTTAATAACAATATTTTTAAATTCTCAATCACTATTATAAAAATAAATAAAAGTGCGATGGCATTTATAAATGCAAACTATAAAGTTGTAAATAAATTTTGTAATTTTAAAAATATTTTTATCAACCTAATCTACTGATTGGTACTTAAATTAAATTTTAATATCTACCTGGTGGCAACGGCTTGGGGACTGAAATTAGAAAAATGTATTTTGCAATATTATTTTTAAGTTTATTTGTTTTTGTATTTTTACAAACGTTTTACAATTAAAAAATGGAAATAAATTTGAAATTTGCCATTTTAAATGGCAATATACTCGCGAAGTGTATTTGCTCAGTTTTTCAAATCAGAATGTGCAATAATTTTAGTACTGGATTTAATTTTCTTATTAGTTTTTTAATGAAACCGGTAATGTTGTATGTCATGTGATGTCAGCCCGATAAAACCTTGGCGCGTTGTGTCAGTGCGTTAAAAATATCTGTTTAGTGTAATAGTGTAGCGGGTGACAGTGAAATGATAGACTTACATAACGGACACTCGGTGCACGAGCGGCAGTCGGAGTAGAGTCCACGCCAGTTGGCGAAGCAGGCGCAGACGTGGCAGCGCCCTATTATGTCTCGAGTGTAGTACATCTCGCCGACTGAAGTGCAGGGGCCTGGACATCAAGAATTTTTGCGGTTATGTCAGCAATCCCTAGTAATGGTGTTAAAACGCGAACTGTTTCTTTGTTGATCACATTTTTTGTTCAAGCCTGAGAAAAATGGAATATGATAGTATAAATAATGGAAGATGGATGGTATCTGAGAATCTGACAGGACATCTGTTAAGTTTCAACTTAAATCAATTTGATACTCTATTCTAGGACATTAAGTTCAAGAATAGAATAATTTCATTGTTAATATATTGATGTATGCTACATCATTTCAAAGTAGTTTGAAAGAATAAGATTTATCACAGATCCCCTACATATCGATCTAACTCCATTTCTTCTCACAGAAACTTTGCCGATACAAAACTATGCGAATATAATGTGGATATGTTACTCACGTGTTTTCGGTGCGAAGGGATTAGGCATGCGCTGTTCCACGCCACTTTCTTCGGCATCATCGTGGCCTGAAATGTACAAATAACTTTTTGAACACTAACAACAACTTTCAAATTCTTCCGGAATTATGGTGTTAGAGCAAGAATGTCTTTAGGTACTGGATGGTGACAATCGCTCTCACTTGCCCATTTACCTTTAGATTTTAGAAATATCTGGGCTTATATCCCCAGGACCATATTCCCCAACCAAAAAAAATGTATCAGTAAGTGGATGTGATATAGAGAAGCTATTGATTTTAACTGTTAGAAGAAGAATCATAGTATTTTTAGCTGGCCCAGTAGTGCTTGATTTCTGGTATAAAGAAGCACATTTTCTACTTTGTTGCCTAAGTTTTATTTAATAGGGATGAATTTGGCTTCAATCTTTGACTCAAAAGTTATGTTACGACTGAATTTCACCACTTGTATTTCAAAGCGATTGAATTTTTAGTTACAATGAAAATTTAAAATATGAAAACATACCTTCAGCTCTGACGCCGGCTGCCAGCGCCAGCAGGATCCAAAGACCCCCAACGACCTTCCACATCTTGACCAAGGGCTGTTCAGACTCCACAACAACCCAACAGTGAGTGGTACCACCCACCGAAGATGCCTCTGATCACCTTACACCGGGTATTTAAACCATCCACCATCACGCGTTGAAACGTATGGAAAATCGATTTGATTATTAAAAATAATTTCGAAACGGTTTTCATCGCATTTTAATATTCCCAAACGAGCCGTGACGACGTGAAGATTTAATTTAGCTCGTATCGAACTATGAATTTACTCGATAAATCATTGTTTATTTCCGTTGAAATCTATCTACCTCTCGGGCTCGGCTGTATTTTCTTTTAAAGAAAATATTCATCAAGTAATGAGGGCTATCTTTTTAGCGCTCACCAGTTAGCGCCACTGTAGAGTAAGGTCCTGTCACTTGCTAGTAGCGAAGACAGTGGCACCAACTGGTGAGTGCGAAAGTGGTAGGAGGACTATCGTATTTGCACTCATCAAGATGGCGCCACTGTAGAGTAAGGTCCTGTCAATCGCCAGGGGTGCCAACTGTTAAGTATAAAAACGATAGCCCTTATTGAAAAATGTCAAATTACTTAACTTACAATTTAAAAAGATTCATAATAAATAACCAATTTATTCTTAAATCTTGCGCTTTTTTGACTTGGTTCATTTTAAGGACGATGTTTTGTGATAAGTACGTTTCTTTACGTTGTTTTTACTAAAGAAATTGTAGAGCCCTTGATGATTATGATGATAATAGGTAATACATCTCTCCACGTGAACCAAAACTGTCTCAAAACCGCCCTTAAGTAGGCAACCCCCATTAAAACAAATACATCAATGCCGCCACAATAGCGTCGCGCGCGCCGGAAGCGGAACCGGAAGCGCGACCCACTAACGACGCCAGCGCCACCTACGACGTGTGCGGACTGGATTGTTTGAGTTTTGTATTCGCACGGGGATTGTGGGGATTTTAATTGTTAACTTTATTTCGATTAAATTAAAAACTTGTCCTAACGTTACTACTGTAACATTTTGAGTAAGATATTTAATGTCGAAATATTCAGAAGGAGCTCAGACATCCTAAAATAAGCTATATTGGCGCCTAAGTAGATCGAACAGTTAACCCTTAATTAAATGGAAAAAAGTAAAGCAGAAAAAGAAGAAGAAATAATTCATCAAGTTTTCACTATCAAAACTAGTTAATACAGATTCCTAAAGTCTACGTAAGACATAAAACGATGTTTGCCATATAATATAATAAAAGTAACTAAAACAAACTGAAGCAAAACCGCACAATAAAACCTGTATCATACGGTTAACAACACGCATTATGTTTCCAATAGCGTGTAAAGTGATTGATTAAACCAATCCAAGATGACGCATTGACAGCGGAATGTCAAAATTGATACCCTATTTTTCGTTTAAGAAATGTCACTTCGTAAGGCTGGGGGTACAACACCCGCGGAAATTATTTTTGCTCGCTTTTGAAAAAAAATATTTCCATAAAACTGACTTTTTACTAGCCGGTGATTGATCTTATTACTGATCTAAAAAATAAATAACCTCCCCCGTTTTTTTAGACTTAGGTGACATTTAATCCGAAAAAATCTCATCCGCGGCTTTTTTATTACCTTTGTCTTTTCCATTCTTGGCATTAAATTAAATTAAATCGAAAGAAACGATCACGTTCTACCCGAAGATAAATATTTTGTGGATGATTCAACTCATCCGCGGATGTGATTTTTTCGGATGAAATGTCACCTAAGTCTTTTTTATGTCGGTTAAAAAAAACACTCGCCCTTTATATTGTGAGCTAGTGTTGTCTTTTAATTTCAGGTCATCGATAACTATGTATATCGAATAACCTCGTTAGCAATGTTCGCCACACAAACGCTACATCTTAATTGGGTTCTGTCCTGTGACACCCAACTGAAAACCGATTACCAGCTAAATAAATTACGCTTAGGGTTTACTACGATTATCACTAAACCAGCTCTCAGTGAATCATTATTATGCTTTTCAGTCTTGTCTTGTCTTTTCCTACCTAAGTGTGAATCACCTCCCAGTCCCAGAAATCGATCGTTCGTTTCAGCCAAATAACGCCCACTGCTGGACAAAGGCCTCGCCCAAGGTTTTCCACAATGAACGGTTACGGTCCTGCGCTGCCCGCATCCAGGTTTTTCCCGCGACCTTCCAGAAAAAGTTTCACCAAATCCGTTAGTCAAAATATTGTTTAAATACATATATTCATGTGGTTATTAGACAAATAACTTTCCGCCCTCACATACTCTGTCACAGAAAAACTTTATCGCGGCGTCCCTGTTTCAAAAATCGGGATAAAAACCTATGTTCTTTCCCGGGACTCAAACTATATCTATTCCAAATTTCATCAAAATCGGTTCGGTGGTTTAGGCGTGAAAGTGAGACAGACTGAGTTATCTTCGCATTTATAATAATATCTAATAATATTATTATAAATGCGAAGGTAACTCAGATATAGATTGACGACCTACGACGACTAATATTATTAGTGTAGATTGACGACCTCAGTGAGTCCTCCGCCTTACAGTAAAGGATATTAGCTTCGATAGTGTGGGAGGAGGGAAGACTCCGATACGTCACAGGGATACGTCTTTTTTGACGGATGCCTCCGAGATTGAGGAAAAGAATCAGCTATGTTTTGCTGGAATACGTTACATTTTGCGGGTAACATTTTAGATGCGAGAAAAGTCCTTTAGATTTATATGGTATCAAGATGATTTATCGTTTACTGTTTGGAATACGATTTCGTAC